TTCATATTCAAGAAGGGTTTACCTGGGAAATGCCCTTAAAGGCTGATGTAGTGAAATTTAAGACAGAAAAGTTAAAAGGAGGGAATTTTGCGTATTTCTAATGATATTGACAAATTATGGAAGCAGAAATAGATGGCGATTAAATAAAATATAAGCTACAAACGCAAAAATATACTAGTCAACATAGGTAACATAATTCGGCGAGTATTTAAGAGGCAGGTTACTGTCAAAGTGGTTAATCATTAGCGGTATACCGCGTGTATGTTGTCTCTTGCCATAATCTTCTTTTCTATTTTTCAAGGGAGGTAAGTGTATTCGCAGTTACTACAAGAATTTCACTGTCGTGGGTCATACATCCACCGTAAAGAGTTGTAAACACCCCAGTCTGCTTAGCAAATTGCTGACCCGATTATATACGTAAAACCCATAAAACTACAAATATTATTTATTATAATTTGTAGTCAGAAGTCCTATTTAATATCTTAACGACCTTTACGACATTGGATACATATTTTAAAGGTATTCAAATGGGTGCAACTTCGATACTTTTTCACCGAAGGAAGCGTGAATAACAAGCGCTGTAACGTTAACGTTCATGTAAGATTTGACTTTAAGTATATGTTTAATTTTATTAGTAAGAAAAGGCTATATAGTAGGTGTAATATCCTATAAAAAGTAACATTTTTTTCTAAGTTAAGTGTTTTTTTAGCTGCAATGAATTTTTTAAAAATAACAAGAGACCATAGGGGTGTATCTCTAAAACCTTACTTAGAACTATACTTTTTTAAGTTTAATTTTAATAATTACTAACTTATATCATAAGAGATTTAGCTAATGACGACCTTACCATCACCAATAAATAAAGGTTTTTTGCTGGCCTTTCTAAATTGACGTAATTGTAAGACTATACTCGAGTTAGAATTAATGAAACTTTTTACTATATATATAACATACTGTACATTAACGCTATCCGAATTAATAGTTAATTATTCTATGTACTTATAAAATTAATAGCTTACCAAATAAATTCTACAGTTACTTCCTTGTGATATTATTAAAAGTTTTAATAGTCGCGTTGAGTATTTTTCGGATCCTATAGCAACTTAATGAGGTATTATTTGTAAAAATTTATGGAATAACCAATAAAATTAATTGCAGACGGTTCATTTTCTCACCTCACTGCCTAGACGGAATTGTAAGTTTTTTATTCTTTACAGTATAATGCTGTGGATTATTCCAAGGGGGCCTCTATTTATTTTATTTTTTTTTATGTTTAAATAACGATAAGCTAACTGATTAAGTTAAGAAGACAGCATTGCCTTGCTAGTCTATTCCAACTGCAGCCCTCGCCGTTAACTAGAATATTATTTTTGTTCTGAGTATTTATATCTTCTATGGAATGTTTCCAGTAATCTTAAATTGCCGAACAGATGCCTTTTTAAGCTTAATTATATCCATAAATTATTTGTAATTATGCTACACATTGTTATTAACGTAATATTCTAAAGAGTTTAGGTAATAACCAACTTACCTCCATCAGCAAAGGAAATGTTTCATGTCCTTCGTAATTTGACTTTGTTGTAAGATTAATATTACGATAGTACCATAAAATCTTTTTATAATATAATAATATTCTATAAACGCATGCTATTCGAGTACATAATGAATTATACACCATACTTCTAAATTTAATAGCTTACCAGATAGATCATATAGTTACTTTCTTGTAAGGTTACTAAGAGCCTTAATAGTCGTGTTCAGTATTTATCAGGCCCTCTGGCAACTTAATAAAATACTATTAGTCTATACCCTACTGCTCTTGGAGAGAATTTAATGTGACACTTTAATTTTGAAGCGTTCTTGGTATAAGATAGCGATAAACCTTTTGTATTTTATAAAATTTAAAAATTTAAAGAAAAACTAATATAGCCTTAAAAAGGATATTTTTAGAGAGGCCCTCTTGTGAGGCGACAAAAAATTGAAGTGTATAGCCTACACGAAAAATTTGAAGCCATATTAAAAGAAAGTTTTTGATAACAAAAATAACAAATTCAGATAATTTACCACTTTAGAAAGCGTAAAACGACAAGAGAACAAATTACATCTCCGTTGAATGTTACTCTTCTCAGTCTTTGTGATACAAGTATAAATAAGTCATAGGTTTTACGCAAAAGCAAACATAATTAAACGTAATACACTTATATAAGCGTTTGGAGTAGACCATTACACTACAACCGCAATCATTTTTAGTGAAAATAGATGCCAGGTAAAAAAAAACTCTATTTATTTAATGAAAAGTCAAAATTAAATATAAGCTTTATAACTGGATAAAAATTTATAACAAACAGATAAAAACTTTATCATCTAGCAACAAAATTAATGGAAAAAGTTTTTTTAGTAATTAAAGCAGACAAAAAAAGTGACCTGAAAAATTTTTATTAACTATTTTTTAACACTTTTAAGGTTAAAACGTTTACCCTGCACAGCTGCTTGAATGCACCAGCTAAGCGGACATGAAATATGTGCGAGTCATGTTTGCGACTGTCTCAGTTGTTAGACTTCTAGAAGTGGCGTGAAAAAAAAAAAAATTCACTTAGACTGTAGAATAACCATTTCTTTTGAGCCTTAGATCATTTGTAAAAGATAAAAGATATAACTTTTTTTTACACCCCGCTGAATGCGAGTTTCAAAAACTTTATTTAATGTTCAATTTACACATATTTTTATAGCCTCCTGAACAGTTTTCTTTAATATGCGTAGTTTTATCAAAAATGAGATTAAACTTATAATTATTCAGAAATAAATGCATGCTAATTCTAATGATTTTTAAGTTAAGGGTTGAGATAATACTAATGAAAAATAATTCGACAATATTAGTTTATTAATTATGCTTATAGTGTTTTCTAATTAAGCCAATAAAAGTAATAGCTTAAGACTTTAATGAATTCTTGCCTCCAAATAAAGCATCTGCTAAAGTAATAGTTCAAAGGTTTAATTTTAACAATTTATTTGTTCATAAACTCAAAAGCTCTGACAGAACAAAAAATGTAAGTATAAACTTTTATTTTTATACTGAAATATACTTCCTCTCAAAAGGATTTTATCATAAAAAATATAAATATACATTTAATAAAATTTAGACCTCTTTAATATATCGGAAGTTTTGTATAGTTTTTTAGCAAGTTATCCTCCTTTATCTAATAAATAAACTAGAGTACTGGTTGTTTAAAATTTCCTTTCAAGCTTTTAGACTCCTTTAAAAATACACACGCCCTCTAGAAGTTAAGCTCTCAATAAACTGTCCTGTAGACAGTTACTAAAAACACATTGTTCGGCCCTATAGACCAAAACAATATATTAAACTTGCTCTTTAAATAATAACGATAAAACTTCTATAAAGCCCTAGAGGTTGGAAAGAGGTCATAAACAAAAGATCGAATCTAGTTTTTATTGAATTAAAATGAAATGTATATATATATACAATTTTAAAATAATCTTAATAGATTAAATCTACCAGTTAAAATTAAATATAAATGCAAAGAGCATACCCTCAGTTATGTGGGATCTACCCTTTTTTTTAACTGCACATTGTGGTTGGGTCATATAATCAACACTATGTTCGTTGCGAATAGTTAATGGGGTCTTAAATACTTAATAAATTAAAATTCTGTCAAATCTAGTTATAATTATCTTTATATTGTGAAAATCGACTAAAAATATAAAAAGGCTGACTTTTTTAAAATGCAAAAACTTAATATCAAGGCTAAATTGTTATTGTAGCGTGAGCAAAAAAATTCACCGCCAGAGAGCTACCCGAACAGTTATGCTAAGAAGACTACATAAAAAAGAGTTTGTGCTACAAAGTTTTGACAATACTTTTTACTAATAAATCACAGGCAAGCTAAACATTTAGGCTCCGTAAATGAGCTGTCCGTTCCATGAGGTCGGTTATACAGAAAGCATTCTTTTTGTACTCTAAAGGGTTTAGGACGGAGAAAAAGAGGAGGAGCGATCTATTTATTGTCCCCTACGGAAGGGTATATGTACCTTCAGATAAGAAATATAAAATGTAGGGTAAGCATAAACTCGTGCATTGGCACAAGCATATCGTGATTCTCAAATGGGTTTACGATTTAAAAGGAGGTTTACACTAAAATCGTTAAAATTAAAATTAAATAAAAAGTAAGAGCTTTTAAGGTGTATCGGATCTGTTGCTAAAAGAGCTCTCTTTAGTGGCAATTGTCTGTCTTTCAAATATAAATTAAATTTATTTCCTAAGAGGGTTACTTTTCCACAAAATAGAATTTTTTATGCCCAAAAAGTAACTATACAAACAGTTTTGCTGAAGAACTAGCCAAGTAGCTCACTCCTTATGTTGGCATAATTACCGAATTCGTAACACTTTCCCGATTTCAAAAATTAGCAATTTCTGCAAATCTTGTCCCCCTACTCCTTTTAGTTTTCGAGGAAAGCACTCTACAACACAAAAGCCAATAATTGCAAAAAGTCGAAAACTATGGTGTTTTGACATATTAAAAAACTTGAGATAATCTGGCTTAAAAAACCTTTTTTTATGAATTAATATTACAGTGCCAGAAAAATTTACCAGCGTTTTGTATTCATTTCTCTACGATAGACCAGGTTGTACTAATAGTAGAAGACTTATCCACTTCCAGGCTCAGTACTAGAACCATTATCTTTTTGAGACATTCCCCCTTCTCCCAACAAAGGTTCCCTAGATCTTAAAGCAAATAAAATTGCTATAAATTAATTTTAATCATAAATTAAAAGATTTTTACGTTTAATTTTTTTAATAGTTATAGTTATTTTTCAAAATATTTGATGTCATCTTTAAAATTTGAAAGTATTGAACGTTTAAAATTATTTACATTCAACCACAACATATTTGTATTAAACCTAAAAACAATTTTATATTTTGAACGAAGAGGAAAAAAAAAGTTATTTGGATTTTATTAAAAAATTTTAGTACAGACCCAATAAAGAGAGCAAAGACAGTGCGCGAGGACACCAACTTTTACGCAGATCGACTTTGCATTGCCAGCATTTGAACCTTCATCCCCTCCTAACTTGCCTTTTAAAAAAGTTTTAAAACTCTGTGCAATCCCCGACCGAAGCGTGCAAAAATCGTCAGTAAACGTTAAAAAGATCTTTATCCAGCAAACGTGCTTCACAACTGAAGGATTTTCCAAGTTGTAATTTTCTATAAAAGACAGTCGTAGTCTAATATTGTTTCTTGTTATATTAAAATAATTACATGAAGTCTGGACTTATAGAAGCAGGAAAAGCATTGGTTTCAATGTCGGTTATAGAGTTATCAACACCTCCATTATTAATTTTTCTAAGCAGGACATCAACGCATTAAAAATTAAATATAAAAAATTCAAATAAAAAAGGGCACAGCAAAAGCGATGAAACTCTGAAACTTCACTTTAATAAACTTTATGAAAATATATAACATAGCGTACTATTTTTACATCTAATTTTTAACAAAAATTGCTTATAAAAATATGTATAGCGAACACGACAAATAAGTATATTTAGACCAACTCACCAGAAAGTCAAGGCATTTAGTTCGGAAAAAAAAGTGGATGGAATATCACGAATGCTATTATAATCAAGGCGACTATTGAATAAAGAAAGCATAAGCTAAAAAGAAAAAAGCGATAGCTGTAAAAATTAAATATATATAAGTACACATGATGGCTATAAGGGTTGGACACATAAACTTACAAGTGCTTAAGGTCCTTAAGACCCTTGAACAAATTCTTATTGAGGGAGGTTAAAGGATTATCACTCAAATCTCTATAAAATGCTTTATGAATAATTATATATGTAAACACTAAATGTTATTAAGAAAGTTAGTATATAAGAAGTTTGTATGACACACTGATAGTTCAAGTAAATGCTACTCATTATCTCTATAACCCGCTTTAAGGGCGTTATGAAAAAATCCCACATAGCGTATTATTTTTACACCGAATCTTTAACGAAAATTACTTATTAAACTATGTATAGCGAACACATCATAAGTATATTTAGGTCAACTTACAAGAAAGTCAAGTCTTTTAGTTTGGAAAAAAAGTTGGGTGGAATATCACGGATCCTATTATAATAGAGGCGTCTATAGAATATATAAAGCATAAAAAGCTATGTATGTGGGGAAGGGGGGGAGGTAGCTGAGAAACAAGTAATTGCTATTCAAATCTCCATATTCAAAAAAGGACTTAATGCCAATCAGTTTAATGTTAATTTCAAGAATTATTATTAACAATTATAGTATATAGGAAGTTTATAACTTAAGTTGTTTATTAGCACAAGGAACATGAGACGGAAAAAATAAATAACATCTCATAATTTTTGTCACTTTTGCTTCTTTAAATAGTTGACAAATATCACCCCAAGCGCTGCCGCATGTTCCTTATATAAACGAGATGCTGTGCGGCAGTGGCTTTTAGTTGTAGCGACGTTGCAATTTAAGAAAATTTTTTTACTTGTAAAATTTTTACATAACCATAAAATGGTAAGGAAAAAATTTTCACACTTACAGAAATTCAAGCTTGTTAAGTGGCCCAAACCAACTCATATCCAACGTGGAGAGGATTTTTACTCAAATCTCTTTTAAAAATAAAATTATAATAGACGGTTAAGCATGTATTTCAACTTTCAATACTCATAGTTCTTCTGGTGTACGCTACGAACTCTATAAACATAGCGTTGCTTACCCTTTTGAACAGACGCAGTACCAAAAGTATTAATACTTTACTAATATTTTAATAAATCGCGCCTTTACAATTCTTTAATTAATAAAAAAATTTGTAACACAAGAGTAAGAGTTATACAAGACAAACCAATTTTTAATAACTATAAGCAAAGAAAAGTACAATTTAATTTAATTAATTATTTTTAAAAAGGCAACCTTAAAAATCTAAGCCAATAAAGGAATTTACGGACAAAACAATTACAATTTTTTTAACTCGGTCATAATATCAAATGTTCCTTTTCCAATAAAGTGATAGCATTACCGTTGAGATTCCTATTCAATATTAACCCCATGAATATAATAAACAACGAATAACTTTTTGATACCAGGCGACGTGCGCGTAGTTTATCATTAAGTTTGTAAAAAAAATTTAACTTTTTTATAAATAACCTGTGGATCATTACAAGCTATACTTGAAGTAATACAAAGCTAATATTGGTAGTGGAAAGTACAGCGTTAGTTTTGTTAAAAAATTTTTTAACTTACAGGTACGAAAGCATCTTAAGCCCAACAAAGTACTGACGGTTCACTGTAGTAAGCTGGTTCTCCTGTAACTCCCTTCAAATAAAAAGCGAAAAAAAGTTAACCAGTTTTATATAGTAACAGTTATTCAACTAATTTCTACCATCAATTAAAAAGACTTATAAAGGTAAATATTATATTTGACTTACAATGTTAATAAACTGGTTAAACCAGTAAATACCTCGTCATCAACACTTCTTATACTGTTGTGAGCAAGGTTCCTATATTAAAGAACTTAGAATATGAATCCGGTTATTATATTAATATTTTAATAATATTTGGAAAAAAAATTGCCTACAAATAGGTAAGTTTGGCAAGTTTTCCGCCATACAGCTCGTTAGGTAATGATGGACTAACCACCTCGATTTTAGTAAGTTTTTTGTTGCTGTCTAGACTCCTATAGAAGAACTATTGTAACTAAATCAAACAATTAAGCTTTAAAAAAGTGAATAAAAGTCTGTTGATCAAAAAGCTTAATAAACTTTTATTATATAGTAGTGATACAACTAATACTCAAAGGAGCTTTAGTTAGTCCCTTTTTGAACTATAAAACTTACTTCTTTTATAGTTAAATTTTTTTAGCTAAGTAAATAAAGTAACTAGAATTAGGGGCAATTATAATTTAAGATTTCATTGCCTTTTACCACCCGCATATAACGCCATAAATTATTTAACTTACAGTGAAACAAGATTTGATAAGCCTGAAAATGCAGAATTCTCAATCGATCTTATCTTATTTTGAGATAGATTTCTATTTATATAATGATCAAGTTTATCCATTAGGGGAGTTTACGTTATATATAAAAGATATATTTTAAAATATAACCAGTAACGTACAGATACAAATTTTGCCTCCTTCGGAGAGATAATCTTTTTCGAAGAGGCATCGGTAATGACAGTTAACTCGTTGTCTTGTAACACTATTAATTATTTAAAGAACAGGAATTTAACATTAAATTGTTTCGTTTAATTTGTTTGAAAAAAGGCTTATACATTTAAAATAACTAAAAGTAATGATTTTCTTTAACTAGACTTACATCTGCGATACACTAACAAACCTCTGCGATTCATCTTCAAAAGAAGAAATCTTATTATGAGAATAATCTCTACAATTAATAAGTAATTAAAGACCAGTGAGGGAAAACAATTAGCATGCAACGCAATATTCAACTAAACAGAATATTACTTTTTCAGGTACTATAATAAACAAGGAGAACTTACAAGGATGTAACTTTCTCATACTAGAAATGGTCTTCTTGCGGACTTACCTCATTTCCCTGTGAGTTTCTATTAAAACAAAAGTAAATAATCTGGCAATTTTAAAGCTGTAAAGATAGAAATATCAAATGTTGTAGAGAAGGGCTCTAACGAACATAAGAAAAATGTTATGAGTATAAATCACACAAAAGAATATGACTATGATTTCTTACTTCTGAATTTGTTAACTTAGATGTATATATAATACACACAAAATTACTCAAGAACATTTAAGGGATAAGTTGAAGACTATTACTCGTTTTAACTGCAAAAATTGCTAGAATAAAAAGGAAAGCCTTACATATAAGTTAAATTAAGCTCGATTTCATTACTGGACGGAAACTTAGGGAGTGGGCAAGACTGGAGAACTCTATTTTTTTTAGGGAATCTTAAAATTATATACTAACGTAGTTAAAGACATGTAAAATTTTGTTTTTCGAAAAAAAATTCTATTAATGTACAGAGCACAGTGCATGCCTTTAATATTTTTAAGTTTTAATCAACGTAAAACTTTCTAGGACCAAAAGCATTCTGTCTATTAAAAAAGTTATAAATTAAACGACGACAGCTGCTTTTTCTTAAACCGTTTAATAATAATGATAATATTCGCTAAACCCTTACAATTCTTTTTCTCTCCTAGTTTTTACGCAACCCTGGGGAGACGAAACTTCCACTGATAAAACGAGAAGGGAGAGTCCTAGGAAATAAAAACACATCACAGCCCCGAGATCTATAGCTAGCCACGTTAAAGAAAAGAGCCATTTCTACCTCTCTTTATATTTATACTTGCTACTGACAGGAAGGAGCAATATGTCGTCCAATACTTAAACAGTGTTTACTATCGTCCTTAAATATTTTGTCTTTAAGCACGTGGTTTCTGTGCGATTTCTATATGGAGTTCCGGTTTCTCAACTTAACCTACTCCTCTGTTTTAATAGGTTATAAAGTTGTTAGGAGCTATGAGATGGCGAGCTAATAAGAAATTATACTTTACGACAATTTCGATTTTACCTGCCTCTACAAAATAAATCTCAAATATATTGATTATTATGCCCTTTGCTTACTACTTAAGTTGCAATACGGCTCCTGTTTTAAGATTTATTTTATTTCCAAATCCCAAGTGCTCGTAATATACAACATATAAACCACGCTTAATCCTTTTTTAGACTAGAATTAGCGGTACCCATTATTTGGATACAATCTTAAAATGTTTTTTTTTAAACAGTTAATAGATGGATATATGCCTTAAAAAGTAAGGTTGTTACCGTCTTTAGAAAACTTTTGGGATTATGTTTATACAGGCCCCTTCATAATAAAACATTATTTTCTGTATCCTCTTTCTCGCTAGGACTATAGTAATCTAAATGAACTCTACAAACCAAGCTTCTATATGCTTTAAAAACTTTGCGACTCCTATACTTTCTTACCATTGCATATAGTGATTGCACCTAGAAATTAAAGTTATATTTTTTTTATAAAAAAACGTCAAAAAGTGGACGCCACCTATCCAAAGCTGTTGTTTCTTTCTGTTTTTCGCTTCATTAATAGTTGTTAAATAGCTCATTTCATCGTAATTATTGTATTTCCTTAAGCACTTTATAAAAATAGTTTAGATTATCACCACAAGCTTAATCTTGACTTTTAACTTTTATTTTTATAAGACTATTTCATTGCGCCCTACTACAATGTATAAGTTAAATTTATTTTAGTGTAACTTATTAATTTCCTCTTATTATTTTCTCGATTTATGCCTTTTTTGATATGCTGACATTCATCCATCTTTAGAAATGTTTAAGAGCTTTTTATTGATATATTATTTAAGACACTAATTTACAGTATAAATATCGCCAAGCCCTATATTACCTCAAGCCTATTTGTATTACGTTGCATTTATGCAATATGGTTGGGAATTAAGTTGTGGCTCTGCTTACTGGTTTAATTTGGCTGAAATAGAACGTTTGTAGTAATCGACTCTACAGCAAATTAAAATCCGCCATCTCAATTTAAATTATTTTCTGCTTAATTACGTACCCAGATATTAGTATAATAATCTTTAGGTAACTGAACTTTATAATTTCGTATCGTGATTGCCTAACACTTAAATAGACCTTTTTAAAAGTTCCTCAAAATAAATTGCTTAACACATTTTTATATAGTAAATCGCTGAACTGTCATTAATAACCCCCGGGTTTCGTCGTAGTAGCTACTTCTTCTGGTGATATTTTAGCACCTGGGGCCCGATGGAGACCCAAAACTTTGAATACTCGAGCTCTCAAACCAGGAGTGATCGCAGACATGTTACATAATAGCTTTTGATCGATAAAGTGACATTATTTTCTAGACAATAACATACACTAACTAGCGCTTACGAGGAACGTGTCCCTCCTAAGGCTCGTAAAGGACCACGGCATGGCATTACGTTGGAAGACATTGTTTTAGGGGCCCAGCTGAAGGTCCCGGTGAAGAGCATCATTTCGCACAAACCAAGGCGCAACTGCATATAAAAGGGGAGGGAGAAGTGACCCCTAAGGGACCTCTGCTGTCAGAGATCGAAGCGGCAACCGGGTACCTACCACGCGCAAGCTGAAGACGCGAACATTCAGATATGATTTCCGCACCTTACGAAGGTCATGAGGGAAAGATAACGAGCGCAGTTTGTGCAGCAGACCTTCATACCAAACTTGAGCAAATGCCTTCTCAACGTCAAGAAAGATATTGCCTGTTGCCTTCTTATGGTTAAAAGCGCGAGTGGTTTATTCAATTATGCGAAGGAGCTGCTGGTTCGTTGGGTGCCCTTGCCAAAATCCAAACTGAAACTCTGGTAAAGCTTTCCAAGCGTCAACGACCTCATCCACTTTGCCGACCGCTGACAGTAAACTGATGGATCTGTACCTGCTAGTTACTGATTCTGGTGTCAGTGTTTTTGGTAGCCTCACAACGCTCGCCGTCTTCCATCGAAACGGAAAGGTGCCAAGGAGAATGTCGAAGATTTCATCAGGAGGTAAAGATAGATCATTCCTATTAATGGCTTTTCTTCAGTATCTCATTAGTGATGTCATCGGGGCAAAGCTCCTTCCGTTTAGGTAGCGCTTCGACAATTGCTTGCACCTCGTTAATATTAACTAGCTTAAGCAGTTCCTAATTAACGGGGAGAAGTAAGCTCGACAGAAAGAAAGGAACGCAGCGTCATTAGCAGTATAGTGAGCAGCTGGCACGTTTTAAAAAGCAAGAACATTGGCAAAAAGCGTAGCTATATCTCCATCACTCTCGGCCACTATATTTCCTTCACAAAGGGGCGGTAGTGGTGCAAGACCCCGATTTTTTAACCTTTTAACAAATTTCCAAAAGGAGGAACGGCTTCTGCTGCCTGATTCTAAAATACGATGCAGGTTTGCTCTCCATTTATTGTTAAAATGGACCATTAGCTTTTTCTAATGTACCTGTGAAGTCGATTAAGTGCAGGTTTGAGGGCGCTCTGCGACAATATGGCTACTCGAATAAGAAGTCGAGGTTGGCAGGTAAGTGTCTTTAGTACGTCAGGCAGGCGATCAGGGCAGTACGTTACTTCACGAGCTATCGTGGCAGTAGTGTAAGCCATGTTTAGTGCGGTTTCGAAAAGGGCAAAAGCATTTTCCGGCAGGGCGGGCGTGACAGTAATGACCGACCGCGGCAGCGTGGTTTCTGGTACCTTTGTATATTTTTCCCAGTCACTAAAAAATACAGGAAATTCTTTGATGTGCCCTTCTCGTCCCCTAAATCGAGAATAACTGGGAAGTGATCGGAGGACAGCTCGTGGAGCGCTTCAATTCCCGTAGAGAGACGTATATCTTTAAGTATGGCAATATACTGTACGTCCACTGTGCCTGTAGTCGCCAAGTGTGTTGGTTGCTGGGGACCTAGCATGCACGACTGCTCAACAGCGTAGGCCTCGAGGATGTGCCCAATCGAGTTATCGGCTCGGCTGTTCCATGCAGATTTGGCGATTAAGATCCCCGCACAAAAAAGCAGAAGCGACAATCCCGAGGATGGTGTCCAAATCGGAGGGCTGGAGTAGCTTTCAAGGGGGTTTGTAGACAGCGATTACAGAAACGAGTACCTGATCGGCTATACCTAGGGAAATTCCACTGCCTCGACACTTTGTAGAGCTGGCATACGCATCGCCTCTACTTTATTAATCGTAAAATATAATATATATACAAAAAATTAATAGATTGAACACACGAGATTAATTAAAAAGTATCAACTAAATTCGGTGTCAACTAAATTGTATGCTGCAAGGAGATCATATAGTTGACAACTAATGCCTTTTTTTATTTTTTAACTTTATGTAGAATTTCCAGATAAATATAAGAGCCTTGACGGAAGTATAATAATGTCAAAAAGTAAAGAGTACTAAATAGCAAGGACACTTGAAGTGCTAAAAAGAAAAGTAATTAAAAAAAAATGTAATGTAGTCAATAAGTAAATTATTTGTACTACTACTAATAGATATACCAACAAAAGTATGTAAAACGGTTCCCTTAGTTGCAAAATCTACCTTAAAAGTTTTATAGTTTGAAATATACATGAAATATATATCTGATAACATAGATTAATAAATAAAAGGTAGAAATCACATTTATTTAAGTAAAAAATGTAAACGAATGGTCCCTAAAACATAGTTCAACTTTAACCAGAACAAAAATAAACAAAGTTATCAACATTAGGAAAAAAAAAAAATTTAAAAGATTTATGGATCTCCCACAAAATATTACTTTTTAATATGTTATCAAGAACTCTCTTTAAAAGGCCAAAGTCCACTAAAAAATCTTAAAATTTCTCGTACGAATCTACAGGGGGCTTGCGACGGGAAACAAAAAATAAATTTAAAAATTTTCCTAAAGTAAAAGAGTCAGAACTTTTGTATTTCTTCTCTATTTTTTTATGTAGCCTAAATAGATTGCCAATAGGACCCTTATCAAAATTTATTCCCAAAAACTTACACTAATCTACTTTATATGTCTTCATAACCTTCTGCGCCGTGTTAAACCGTTTCATTTTGTTTATCCACCGTAATGGTATCAACCCTTTCCATTGAGATATCAACAAAGTCTAAAGGGGGGTCGTCCACTTCCTACAAGCGGCACTGCTACATTGGGGATACCTTAAGCCTCAGATATCGGACTTTTAACATCAACAGGTTTATCAGCACATTAATAATTCTCAAATATATAAAGGTTCCTCATCTGACGCAATCTCGCAGACCTTTGGTCTTGGTCCAGTCGCGCCACATAGGACATAGGGCTGGCTTACCTCATTGGCATGTTTCCTCAAGGCATCATGGGGTAAATTCATTCCTTTCCAGCTGCTGCTAGATTGAGGTAAATCCATTACGCATATTTATTTGAGTGAAGTGTTTCGGCAAACTTCTGTTCGTTACCTCTGCTGGAGCTGTAAATCAATCTTTACAAGCTCAAGATATGCGTGATGGCATTACCATCAAGAGCCAAACAAAATTTATTTATATACGTTTTTCTGGCATCAATAAGAATCCATTAGGGTCAAAAACTTTAATGCGATCCGAATAATTTATTTTTTCGACAACTAGTAGCTTCTATCTCTTGACCTAAGGGGAAGTTTTAGCTATGATTTATTAACTAAGGAAAAGAAAGTTGGACATATATAACTCTTGAAAAAAAACCATCATTAGTTGCACTCGCTTTGCTGAAAAGGAGTTAACTTTAAAGTAGAAATATTAACTCTTAAGATTTCTATTTATGTTCGAATGTACTCATCTACAATAATATCCAAAGCCTCCCTTTTTACCACAAATTCCATGGATAAAATCTTTCTCAAGCTAATTTCTAAAGGGGGGCTAATTCTTTTATTATAATGCACTATGTTAATTAAGGGTTTGCGGTATTTCTAAATAGTTGATCTTTAAATGTATCTTCAGGAAGAAATGGTAATTCCAGGTTTCTCCGAATTGAACACAGGCACACTCAGAAACAGACCGGGGAGGGAATGCACATTAGTACCCTGATTCGAAAGAAATTCTCTTAATACTATCTCAAAAATAACCGTATAAAACCAAAAATTACAATCAGGAGAGTAAAAACCATTAAAAATGTTACGATCAATCATTATAACCTTTTCTCGAAGAATTGACGTTTGAGAATAGTAGAAGGCAGCCTTCTAAACATTCATCTCAAAAATGCTCCTTGCCAGTCAATGAGATGAGGGCCAAAAAAAAAAAGGGTAAGTTAAACTCTACACGGTAACCGGTTAAGGAATACATAGATACCAGCCGCTTAAGAACATTTTAAATTTTTTCTCTTTCCCGCAGCACTAGCCGGTTTCCCTGGAACCATGGTGTAGCCATAATTATTACCCGGTAGTAGGTTTCCCGAGGTGTGCGGATGATAACCAATCTTGTAAGGTCTGAAGCAATTCAGAAGGGTACTGTAAGAGTTCATCTTGTCAGCACCAAAATTTTTGTAAGGCTAGTTATTGTTCTAAATGAGGGAAGTGATAGCATTGCAGTTAGGTTCAAGATTACAGAAAAATAAACTGTGGGTACTTTCAAAGCCGGAACTTTGGAGGAAAAGGACGTCAATAAAAATTGAATCAATAACTGTTCCAAAAATTTGAATGGGTATTCCTGCTTTTGAAAATGTGAAGAAGGCTAAGATTATTCATCAATTTTGTATATAACTTTAAACTTTTCATTATTATATAAAAATTCTTTATCAATAAAACTTTGGAGGTAAAAAAACCTCTATATTTTTATCACTTAGAAAGCAATTAAGTGCTGAAAATACTTATATAATTTTCCATTAATACAATGACTTTCGTACTTGATTTTATATTGGTTGGGGACAAATTTTCAAAAGGAACAGAAGAAATCGAAAGAGTTATAAAATCGCATAAAATATAAAACAGTTGTAAATAAAGAACATTATCAAGTCTGCCTCTCTTATTAACTTAATAAAAATAGAAATACAACCAAAGTAAGTACAAGTTGACGGTAAAAGGCCCGCTGGCAAATCGCTGACCTTAAAAAAGTGATTTGCAATGCGCACCATATCTGATCTATTTAACAGAGGCTGTCTTCTTAAACTGAAAGTCAACTTACCAATATTAACTTACCAAACTCTTCAATATTAAAGAAAAAAAGCAGTCATTAGGCCATCAATAGCCCTCCTCAATAAAGTCAAATTTTAAATAGAAGAAACATGAACCAAGAGCGCTTTCTAAATAAATCGGATAATTCTCCTTCAAAGAAGACCTGGAGAGAAACAAATAAGATATACGTGTCTAAAGAAGGAAGAACAAATGCCAAAAAGTGTAGTGATACACAAAGTCTATACCACCTTAATTTTTACAAACTGTTGCCTACCAGTAGGAAATAAATTAATAAAAACTAGCGTTAATAACCAGTTCACTTCCCGATAATGTATATATACGTGAAAAGGTCAGTTTGAACATAGCATAAGTTTAAGTGCAAGTTCCTTTAGGAAGCGAGTGTTTTAATAAGACGAAAACAAACGGGATTGATAGAAAAGTTAAACGGTTGGTTTCCTTAGTATTCCTTGTTAAAACACTTATCTTGACAACATATTTTGCAATAGAACAGGCAAAATCCAAGAATCGTATAAAATTTAAAATTGTCGTCAAGTTAAATAAACAAAAAAAATTCATGTGATTTTTATTCAAAGTAACAAGTCTAAAAATTATAGGTAAAATAACTGCCTGATCTAAAGGTTATTTATGATTATACACACTTTGACTAGTTCTCTGATACAGGTAAGATAGAACCTGCTTATAGACTTTTTAGCTAAAATTATAAGACAATGATTAGCTTAAGTTAATACAATAAAACAAACAATAATCAGCTTAAGTTTATAGAGTTACGACAATGTCACCGAAGCTACAAATAATAATTTATTGTTCACGATGGACGCATGCTTAGTTGTAAACATAGTAAATTAAATCTAATTAAAATTAACTAAATTTAAATTCATAAAAAGAAATAAAATAAATTTATAAATACTTAACAAAAATAAAATCACTAACTAAAATCAATTAACAAAATAAAAGAAATTAAACTTTATAAGCTCCTAATTTTACATAGGACTTTAGGTCACTAACCTCGCGCTATAAATGGTTGTTGACTTATAGAATAATCAAATTATCAAAATCATAAGTAATAAACCTGATTAAATGCTAATACAGTTTAACTCAATAAATCAACAATACTACATTTAGAAAATAATTTAACATTGTAAAATTAAATAATAAAATCGAGCTCTTACATTTGAGCAAAAATAAAAATAAAATAAAATAAAACCAAGTAGAATAAAACATAGTACAATAAAAATTTACTCAATATAAATAAACTTATATAAAAATTAAGTCAAGCAAAAAATAATTTGGTAAAAGAGTGCTTATACTACTGCTAACCTATGTAACTTATTGACTAGTAAGAGGCACTATTATAATTAAGAGACCACAAATGAAACCTTTTGACATGCTTAGCTGCTTGAAAACACCGTAATAAGAGCAGAAGTTCTTTCGTTTTTTCGCACGTCCTGTGCATCTAACTCACTTGAATCTCACTTTTATATCACTTTTTTGGCGCGGGACGTGTCGACTTAACCTTGGTTCAACTGTGACTGCAGCAGGTGAGACCTTTGTCTAAATAGTTGTTGACTTTGGCTACTGCATAGGTTGGCTACTTAATGGGTAGGCTAGGGACGTGTTCTGTCACGGACCTCGGATCGTTAGCAATATCTTGATGCTTTCTTTGAGTCATGTACATTCTTCATGTTAGTATCGTAGGAACTTTGCCGGCGACTTGTTTATTTTATCGGTCGTATGCTTGTTCCCAGGCACATGTCGTAAAGTGGACCAAAAGGCCCTATATATACACGTTTGACACGAACGTTATTCCTTGCGTCTTTTGGTAAACGTTTGCCGTAGAATCCTGACAAGAGGGTGCCATCCACAGATGGACTATTGTATCGTTATTAGACTGAATGAAAATGACGTGGTGTCTAGCAACCCTCTACTTTGATTGTGTCCTTTGAGCTTAAGCCAAGACAATAGTAACCGAACCCCTCTGGATTATTTACCCAACAATTAGCGTGAATATGGTTGCCCTGCATAAATCTAGTTTGGTTCAGGAACGTGCAATACTGTGGAGAGACGAAGGCTTATTACTACGTGTG